AGTAGGAACAAGTGCCTTACTAGTAGGAACAAGTGCCTTACTAGTAGCAACAAGTGCCTTACTATTAGCAACAAGGACGCTAGTAGTAACAAAATGTGCTTTTCGGCTACGAGGTGCAATGGCTCCAACGCTGAGGACGGCGTAGATTGCAACAACCTGAGACAAAGCGGCCACAACACGCCAGCAGCTGCACCATTTGGTCAAAATACCATCTGAGCAAGCCACCACGTTCTGTGTTGAGCTCAAGAGAACAAGAAATGAAATTGGCATTGCAATGGCCTCAGAAAGAGTTTCCATTCGTTTCAGTTCTTTCTGAAGATGTGGAGGTCGCGTCTATCGCGCAAACCACAAATGCACATGATTCTCACCCTCTATGCAAAAGGATATGTTTATCTTGCTGCGGCTTAGTGGGTGGTTGAGCAAAGCAAGAAGGATTTTCTCGGCTTTGCCTTTGTAATCCAAATGTGTGTTTGACAGCGATTCTTGTGCTTCAAGTTCCCGAACTCAGACGGACGGCAAAATTTGGGGCAAAGGTGACATCCGACGTTCATCTGGGAATAGAGAAATCGAACCGCTGAAGTGGCGAATTCTGCACTGTGCGAAGAATTGTGCTAATGAGACCTTAATGAGACACCTAATTATTGACTCTGAGCTGGTGAGAGACGAATCCCCAGTAGACTTAGACTAGAAAACGCTCACTCTTCAACAGCTCAAGGACGCTCCGTTTGTTGGACGGACTTTGTTGCGCACGCGTCGGGTAATTGTCACGGGAAATCGTGACGTGATGCGATTGTGGTGACGAAGCGATTGTGGATTTGTGGATGTTTGTCTCCAGCAAAACAGACACATCTCTAAACAGTTCACACCTGAAGCACCGTCCACTGGAAGGTGAATGAAGGTGAAGGTATCAAGATGTATCAATGGCATGGTATGCAAGACTGGTCTCGGCACTCCATGGGTGACTAGGATCGTGGCAATGCCCGAGAATAGTCCGTTGATCAACTCTTCGCCCATGTCGTACCTACGACTTGACAATACTACGGTCTACATCGGTATACCATGGTATACCGTGTTCTTCACAGGGCAGTTGACTCGGAATGCAACTTGCAGTTGTGCCTCTGAAACTCTCCGTTGCCATGGAACTTCATACTCTTGAGACTACTTGGCAGAGCTCCTGAGAGGCAATCGCCAAGTTTCAATAAACCATTTTCAATTGAAACTTAAAACCGTCCTCGATTTGCATCCATCCATTCTCTGATGTGGTCTCGGATCCTGGTGCCTAACGGAAGATGCCAAGCGGTGCAGCATACGCTCAGAGAATTCTGAAGATGTGAACAACTCTCCGTTTTCTTGAAGATCTGCCTATGGAAAACGGAAGCCGCTTCTTCATCACACTCCGGAAGTGAAGCGCGACATACTTCAGCTCTCCGTCAATAAAGCCAATGTCCTCGCTCCGAAGAGCGTTCCGATATGTTCCGATCAAGGCAGCCTGTTCTCACTCGAAATGGTGAGGTGTACAGTAAATGTTCAAGAGGTGTACTGTAAAATTCAAAAGAAAAACATGTCACCAATTGCTCTTGTTCACTTCAGTCCACCAATGTTCAGTCCATTGCTTTTGTTGCAGCTGCGAGTCAGTCTTGTAATTCACCGCCTTTACCAGCACATCGCCATAAATCTGACCTGCACCGAAAACATACACGTTTGACTCCGTTTGACGATCGAAATGGACAAAGCTTTCGAACAGTGCCAAGAAAGCAACCAAACGGAGCAAGCATGAGAGAAGGCAATTCATTGAAACATTTTTGGGGGGGTAGTGGAAGCATGACTCCAACATCAATGGGCTGAAGTCTGCTGGCACCTTTGTCCGCTGCACTGCGAAATGCTTGAAGCTGAGTTGTGAAGTTGGCACCGGTCGGCAATGGCCCGCCCAGCCACTGCTGGAAATCCTCCAAGAAGCACGACACGGTCCTGCAGTGGAGAAGCAGTGAAGCAGCACGGAAGGCTGAAGAAAAGACACTAGAAACGATATTGAAAAGGGGAAGGCAAGCCCCCCTTTGATTACCCGAGATTCTAAAGATGCAGCTCTCTGCTGAAGACTCTCGCGACTACGAAGGAACAGTCATTGCACGGTTCTGGACTTCTAGTGTCCTCTCAGTCGTCTGCATCACGAAGGTGTCATAGCCAGAGTTGTCGCAGCCCTCGCATTGGCAGTTCAAAAAGCATTGAACACTGGCTAACCCCTCACTGAGAACCGGCTAGTGGGAGTACAAGTGCCGGCAACAGCGCCTTTCACTAACGAGAACAAACCGTATTCGTCACTTGCGAGCCTCCAAATCGCAGGTGATGGTGCGCAACTTTGAGCAAATATCAAGCATTCCAGTCTGCGCCTTTGACACAGAAATCGTTTGGCACTTTCGGGTACTGCTTTGTTGTAAAGATCCAAATTCACGACACTTCGGATATAGTTTCTTGCTACATATCTTCCACCAAAGTCCGCTTCCTTAATAACGCATCGACAAGCTGTCAAAGTCAAGCAAACACCCAACAAATCTGTGCCTCACTGGTAGTGAGGTCAAAGCTGTCATCAAAAATAGGTGTGCCAATGAAAGCGCCTGCAGAGTGTGGATCTAAAGAATTCCGAGCGACTTGAAACCGACGAAAGAAACGGGAGAAAACGAAGAAAGGAAAGCAGAAACTCTGCCGGCGGCCATCACAATGGCCGTTTAGTGTTGGTGTCGCCGTTGCCTGGGTCATAAACATTAATGCCCGAGGTGTCCAAACCAGCGATGCCAAAGATCACAGTGATGACCTAGGACATCAACACCATGTTGAAATCACGTGCCGTCTCGAATCCGAATGAATCCGATGCAGCATTTGTCATTCTCAAGGCAACGACAGCGTAGTTGTCAAAGGCTGGAGTGTAGAAGTTCTCTGCCATAAAATCTTGGATGCCCACGAACATGTGATTGCCTACGGCTCTTGGACCATATCTTGGTCCAAATGGCCAAGCGGAACAAATCCTCCCTCACCGAAGGTGTTGAGGCGTTGAACTCCAACTATGCGTTTGCTATAATTGCTTTAGCTAGGGTGGCATTTTCGTTTGCGTATTCTGCATCATGAGATCTGTCCGGGAGAGGGGTGGGAGTGGGAGAAAACATGGAATAAACATGGTTTTCACACATCACCTATGTCTGACTGTATTTCCATCATCCTATCATTTGCATCGCTAGGTCCATGAAAGGCAAACAAAGGACAAACAAAGGACTCCTCTCAACAGTCTGTGTCTTAAATTGCAGAATTTGCGCCAGCTGGTTGCCATTGTCTACAGTAGCTTACTACGGTAGCATATGTGTCAGCTGGTTGCAAGTGGATAGTTTATTGTGCAAAATGCCTGGAAGTTAGTATAATTTGGACTCCCTCGAAGAATGTACAACTTCACGGGAGTCGAAAAAACCATCCAACAGTGCCAACAATTTGTTAAAATGTGTCCATAAATAGACTCATGATGGAGAGACATGACAAAAGAAATTGTAAGAGGTCTAAAACTCGAGTGATTATGGACAGTTTTCTATATATTATTCATCCACTTCATGCTGCGTTCATCTCTAAGTCCTGTCTCGATCATACATATATGGTTGCATAATAACTCCATTTTTCGACCCCCTTGAACATGTACAATTTCAAACGGGTTGAAAAATAGATCATGATCCAACAATGTTTGCACAATGCAAGTAAGACATAACTAAGCAATGTATCAAAGGCTAGTGACTATAGATACTTCTTTTACCCTCTCTCTAAAAGCGGTGCGGACAGTTGTTGTCGCGAAGCGACCTGACATACAAAACTGTCTCCCACAAGGGCTTCCGTGAAGCTTTAGGAGGTACTCTTCTCGATTTGTGCGTGCCAGCTGGAGGCCATTTCTAACACGCGCATCGGCCCGAAGTGGATCCACTAAACAGCGTCGGGGATTTCAAGCTATACATGCGTGCTCAAAAGGATCGAAAAGTCCACATGAAACATGGACACAAGATCCCTCGATCTTTTGAGCTAAAAGCGGTCTGGAAAATCCAAACCAAAGTGAACTCGCTCCCACTCAGGCAGGTCCTCATGAGCTAGCCGTTGGAATGGAAAAAGAGTTTTCGCTTCTTCTTTCTGTTTCTCCCTTCGGAGCCTCTGAGCTTTTCTGGCGCTCACAAACTCCTGGTTGAAACGTACGGCCCAAGTCTTCTTCGTGTGGTAAAGGGCCATGATCTTGAAGCTTTCATACGTGGCCTTCGTCAAACTGTCGGCAAGGTTCAAGTCACCTGGAACCCAGGTGGGGTGACAATGGCTTTCGTCCGTAGTGCCTTGTTGCACATGGAGCATTTCAACGCCTGTACGGGCGTTCGACATTCCCAGCATCACTCAGTCGTTGGTTGTGAGAGCATCGAAACATCCTCTGCTGTCCATCACGAGGAGGGACTCTGTCATGCTGGCCAAGAGGTTGGAATTTTGCCTCGTCAGCTTTTCTCCATTCAGGAGTGCCCAAAACAAACGAAGACGCCATCCACGATCTTCGCCCTCGTAGATAGCTTGACCTTCGGCCCCGTTGGAGCCTTTGCTGGGACGATCCAGCTTCCAGCTTCTCCAGTCGATCATCGACATCTTGCTTTCGGCTCCTGTGAGAACGGAAGGGTCGGAGAGGCAGGAGACATGTCCACCTGTAGCGCCGCCGCATGGACGGTTGTTCAAACCAGCGTCGGCAAAGTGAACAGCTATCAAATCATTCCATTTCAACTTTTGCTTCCGGCAGGCATTGAAGGAGTGCATCACTAAGTCTTCCTTGGAAGTTTTTCGAAGTTCTCTCATGATGGCATTCGCCTCCTTGAGCTCCTTGATGGTGGGGTCCTTCAAGGATGAGGCCAATAGGCCTATGCGGGCACAGAACTGTGGGGCCGTTTGGATGGCCCTCCATTGTGCCTTCATGGTCAGTGCTCTGGCCTGTGTTGTCTCTGCAGGGCTGAGTCGATCTGTGATCTTTCTTTGACTTTCTTGTTCTATGGTGACTGGTCGAAGAGCTCCACAGAATTTCTCCTGTGTCATGTAGATGGTGTAGTCCTTGGTTTGTTTGAGCTCTATGCCGGCAAACGTGAAGGTTCCTGTTTGCCAAGGTGACCAGCTGTACATCTCTTTAAAGAGCTGGCGATATCTCATCCAGTCTCTGTCATCTTCTTTGCCGGTGATGATGAAGTCATCCACATGTGAAGCAATCCGGCCACAGATCTCTCCGGAGGAGTTCCGGAAAATCCAGATGCACTTGTCCAATGGGTGAGCTACTCCACCAATCTGTTGGATCTTTCTGTCGCTGTCACGCCAGAAGATTCTGGGGGCATTCGTGAGGCCATAGATCGCTCCGACGACCTCCATCGCCTGATTCTTTGGGATCTGCAAGGCGTGGCTGAGCTCTGGGACACCATATGTGTATAGCGGCTGCGTGCCAATGCCCTCGTCCGCCTGGAGGAATGCCGATTTGGCATCAGCGGATTCCAGAAGGTGTTGGTCTAGAGCAGCTGCTTGGAGGACCAACTGGCGACCCAAACGTGATAGTGTTGGGGATGCCGTTCTCAACTGTGGTCTTCCTGTTCTTTCGTCCCTTCGAGCTAGGTCAGGGTGCTTGTACCCAATGAGGACGATTCTGGCTTTTGCCTTTGCCAAACCATCTTCTCGAAGAACAGTGGGTGTTCCATCCGTAGGTGGCAGCTCTGGAGTTGACAATGGCTTCCAGATCAATATCCATCTCATCGGAATGATCCTTTCTTTCAAGACAGCTTCTGGGACTTGTTCTCGAAGAGCCCGGAGAGATTGAGACCTCAGTACTTCTGAAACTTCTCTGGCCATAGCCTCTTTCATCAACTCTTGGTGATGAGGGGACAACTTCTTGAAGTTCACTTCTTTGTTTTGACCTTGTAGTTTGTCCGCGACATAGGCAGTGCTATCGAGGACAAAGGCTTGCGTGTTGTCAATCTCAATCTCGATGAAGCAGGCTTCTTCAGCATCAATCACTTGTTCTGAGAGCATGAAGTCCAATAGGAACTGCTCTTCCTCCTCTTCTTCATTGATTTCTTCCAGAAGTTCTTGTCGTCGTTGTTCTGGACCATTCTGGTAATCTTCATTCTTTTGCTGGTGGTCATTGTCAGCCAGATAGTTCTCTTCCGGCATGCGGCATGTTGTCATTCTTTATGTCGAAGAGCTGGTAGATGTCCATGCCAGTTTCTTCCGAAAGAGCTTGCATGGTCATAGTTTCCTTGCCCTCTTCATCGTCAAGGTTGTAGTTTTGCACTTTCCTCTTTCGTCCACCAGGCCTCACAGTGAACTCACAGCGGCCTGTCCAAGGTCTTGCGAAGGCAGGGATGTTCTTTTCTGTCTTCTTCCAATTGTCCTCGTAGGTTCCATTTTGTTGATCATCCCACCAGTAGGTTCTTCGTGTTGGTTGGATGAACCTCTCTTCCACAGGGCAATCTGTGGTGGTAGTTGGCTGAAAGAGTGACCACCTGGGAGTATAGTGGTGGCGGATGGGATCTTCTCTCGATCTTGATCGTGATCGGGAACCTGCACTCTGTCCTTCTGAAGGCCCATGCCATTCATCCGGAGGGACTGCTTGTTCTTCTTCTCCAGGATCAGGTTCTCCTTCAGGTCGTGGTTCCTCTGGAAGAAGGTCACGTTCAGGATCGAAACTTGGCTCCCTTGTCACATCCACGCTCGAGTGGAGTTGCCTCAAAAGATCTGTCATAGGTGTTGCCAATCTGTCACCATGCTTGACCATTTCTGCTAGGATTTCAACTTCAGAAGCAGGTCTCATTTGCTCGGGCGCACACCTCCACAAAGACGTTCCCATGAGCACCCAATAGACAGCAGCATGACCTCCCGGAGTTGCTGAAGGTTCTATCATTGCAATGCGTCCTGGACCAATGAATCGTGGCTCGTTCAGGAAGTCTTTCTTGCGAGCTTTGATCGTTGGGTTTCTCCAAATGCAGACCCAATCACCCACGGTGTAGGCATTTGTTGGCCGACTGGAGGCATTGTACAGTCTTGTCATCCTTGCAGCTGCCAGTTCTTTTCGATGGATTTGTTCAACTGCCTCTCTATTTTTCTGCAGCTGCCAGAATTCGGCTGTGTTCATGCCGTTGTTGGTGTTCACCTCCAAAGGGTCGTGCTCCAAATGCCAAGCTCCAGGTTCTAAGCCGTATGCCCATTGAACAGGGCTGTATCCTCGAACTCGATCACCATGATTCTGTGCGGAGGAGGCCAATAGTGCCACAAGCTTTGGCCTTAGTCTTGAATGCTCACTTCTCACCTTCTTCATGGTGTTCTTGAGAGCCTTCACCATTGACTCTGTGCTGCCATGTTGCCAGTGAGCTTCTCCAGGTACAGCAGTCACACCAATGCCAATGGACTGGCAGAAAGCTGCAAAGTCGCCTTTCGCCAGGGATGTTTGAGCGTCCACCATCACCCACTCAGGTCGAGGTCGATGAAGTAGCCATCCTTCCACAAAAGCATGGATGAGCTTCTGTCCTGATTCTGTTCCTGTCGTGGCTGCATCGCCTTGCCATAGAAGGTGAACAGAGGTGAATCTCATCGTCAGGCATGTCATCAACAAGTATCTCGCCTTGGTTTTGAGCTTTGGGAAGTACAGCTCAAAGGTGTCCAATCCAATCATTTGCCATGGGCGAGAACGGGATTCAATCGAAGAGGGCAATGTCATCTGAGCACCCTTCTTCGTCTCCAAACAGGCCTGACATTTCATCTCAAGGGCCAATTGAGTGACCCAAGGTGGTAGACCTCGATCTTGACATAGCCTTGCCAAAGAGCGGTTGTTCGGGTGTCCGGCTGCTCGATGGAGTCGATGTAGCATAGCCTTGGTCTGTTCTATTTCTTCTTTTGGTACAGCCTGAAGCTCACTTTCTCCTTTTGTCCTCTTTCTTTCTTGACCTGTTCGGTCCTCCTTTCTCTCAAGCTCCATGTCGTTGTCAATCGCCATGATGGCCTTGTAGACTTCTTTTGGTGAAGCTTTGATGTTTCTTTGCCATTGTGATTTCCAAAGCCGAGCTATGCCCTCCACCATGGATTTCGGGTAGAAGGCGGTCTCGGAGACAGCTTTGGAACCCATGCCGATCATCCCTCCTGGTCGGTGAGTGTGCGATTGGTCGCACTTTCGGCCACAACGGTCATGAAATTCAGGATCATTGTTCATCACCAACCAAGATTTCTGGATGAATTGTCCATCAGGGCTTTTCATACCATGTTGGCAGCCATCAATCTGGGTGAAATAGAGCGGGCCAAATTCCTTCTGGTACTGCTTGATGAAGTGCTGAAGCTCAGGGAGATTCCATCCTGCGACAGCGAACTTTGGCCATTCAAAATAGAACTTGCTCGAATTTTGGCTTGCCAAGATGATAGCCCAGATCAAAGGCTTGCCGATGTCATACCCCGTCTCCAATGTTTTGCGATGCCCGTGGATCTTTTGTTCGTGAACTGCATTCATCAGTGCCGAGTTTGCTCTGCAGCAAATCTCCCAAACAAGGAAAGGTTTCGTGTAGTCCTGCAAGACACCCAGACAGGTGCCAGAGTTGAATTCCGTAGTGTTTCTCAAAAGCTTTTGGCGTATGGCCTCTCCAAGAGGCTCCTCTTCATCATCACTCTGAATCACTCTTGCTCACTGCTGCGACTCCTTCTTCTTCTTCGGCTCGTAGTCCTCCTTGTTGATCTGCTCGAAGCTGTCGTCGTCGTCCTCCGAGTGGATCGCCACAGCTTCTGGTGGAGTTGCCGAGGACGTTGCATTCTTCGCCAAGTCGTTCGGCTTGACATAGCCGGACTTTGCCTTGCTCTTCGGAGTCTTGATCAACTGGTACTCCTTGGCCACGATGGTGATCATTGCCTTCACTTGGGTCATGGATATGGTCTGAGGCTCCCAGCCCTCCGATCGTAGGCGCTCCAAGGCCATCGTCACATTCTGGGGAAGGTCCACGTGCGTGGTCTGTGCGGGCGCATTGATGGCAGGGATGTAGCTCAGCCTTAGACCGCAAGTGCCGCATTCCGTCCATGCACCATACCGATTCCCGTGGCTGACTGGTTGATGAGCTCCGAAGCAGGGCCATTGGTGGTCCTTGGCTCTGGGATCTCGTTGATCCACCCCGGCCTTCCGGGTATAGTCGAACTCGGTCTTGTTCTTTGTCTTCGACTTGGCTTTTGCCGCCGTGCTTTTGATCTCCGCTTTTGCTTCTTTGGTGGCTTGTTGAATCTCTTCCTGGACCACCTCCCGCACGGCCTTTCGAATTTCTTCCTTCAGCGGCAGCTCCGCCATGTCGTAGAGCTGGAGAAGGATCGGTGAGTGTCGTCGCGTCGCTTGCTGTGGGCATGAGATGCTGCAAAAGAGGTTGAGTCACTCCCAAATGACTTGCCAAATTGTGAGAAGCAGCTTCAAAAGCAAAACAATCCAAGACAACATGCTCTTCCGTGTTCGTGACTTCACAGTCCATGACATCCAAAGTGAAAATGTCTAAGACATGACACTCTTCAACATCACAAAAATGCACCCTCCGCGAAGGCGATTTGGAAGAGGTTGTCGAAACGTGGTTTCCGGCATTGGGCTCAAGATCATGGTGGTGTTCAGGGAATATATGTTCCTTGTAGTCAATGATGAGGTGCTCCTTACTATTCTTCTGCAAAGTCATGGGTCGTCCTTGAATGATGCATGCCCCGGTGGTGCAGTTGATGACACAGTTGAGATGCTGAAGTTCTTTCATACCGATGAGAACTGGTACATCAACAGCTGGAAGTGCATAGATGGACATGGAAACCTCTGTGAAGGGGTCCTTGAGGGTGACCTTGTACAAAGCTCTGCCCCACTTGCCATTTCCGAATCGAAACCATGGTCGCGCTGTTTCAAACACGGTGACCTCAAGGTTTGGTCGTGACGAGACAAGTGCTTTGCACAAATCCTGCACGGCTTGCTTTCCGCCGGCAGTAGCAGTAGCTCCGGTGTCCACCAAGGATTGGTGTGGTGGCAACCGTGATTGCTTGCAAGGTTCCCTCGAAGCTGGCGTTGCTGCCATCATCAAAGGATACATGCCTTGATCATCGAATTCTTCTTCCACTTCCATCATGCCCATACTGTAGTTCGAACCATAGCCTTTGCCTTTCGTGTGCTTGCCCTTGCCCTTGCTGTAGTTGTTGCCGTAGGTGAACTTTGTCTTTCCTTTTCCGCCCTGAACCCAGTTGCCTTCCTGGGTACGGGCTTTTCCAAGATGCTGAGGTTTTCCTTTTCCACGGCCTTTTGGATTTCCCTTCCATGGATAGGTCGTTGTTGACCGTGGTTGCCGTTGTTGAACTGTTCCTGTCCAGCCGCGATCCTTCTGGCCGGCTGCCACTGCTTTTCTGGCCTCGATGAGGTTCCGGTCGGTCTCACCAAGCAATGCTTCCAACTCCATTTTGTTCTTCTCGTGCTCTTCTTGTTCTTGATGAAGTCGAAGGAGTTCTTCATCCATCTCTTCTTCGTTCTCCCACTCTTCAGCCTCATAGTTTTCTTCACCTTGCCACTCCTCGTCATTCTCTGCGATGTAGTCCTGGCCGTAGGGCTCCTCAGAGTAGAAACCATAGTGCTCGGCGTTCTGGTCATAGGTCTCTTCCGTCTCAAAGTCTTGGTAGTAGGCTCGTTGAGAGCCATTCGAACGAAGTCCGCCATGACCTGGAACTTTTCCAGAGCCTTTGCCTTGAAGACGTTCTTCGAACAGGCCAAGGAGGGCTTGTCGGATTTCGCTATAGGCCAGTCGGTTCCTGGTGGCGGCCTTGATGAGTCTTCGATCATCTTCAGATGATACTGCCATTTCCAAGACCAACCATCCCCTGATGCCGTCAAGGGCGGCCAGCGGCATGAGACCCTTTTCCATGAGTCTTTCAAGAAGGTCCTTGCCACGCTTCGCTTCATCGCCTTGGGATGTCGTCGAACTCCTCGATGATGAAGCATGACTTGATCTTCCTTTGGTCGATCCCTTCGAACTGAAGGGTCTCCCCGGATGTGATTCCCGAGGTGTTTCAGTCCTTTCTTCTTCATCGGTCGCCCCTTCGGGTACTTCTCCTTCTTCCGGATCATCGCCTTCAGGTTCTCCATAATATAGTGACTGACCTGGGCTGAAGCCACAAAAGCGTCGAAGCTCCTCCACATCCACGTCATAGTCTTCAAAGGTCAGCTCCTTCTCACGGAGTAGCCGTTGCAATGCACGGACCATGTCATCATGAAGTTTGTCCTCTCTGATGAGGAAGGCGCTGACTCCCTCATGAGGTCTTCGGCTCAACCTGCGATAGTAACCTCCGATTTTGGATCCGGCATCTGGGAGAGGTTGTTTGTTGAGTGGGCTTTCTTCGAGGTATTTGATGAGTTTGGCAACATCTTTCTCAGCTTTAAACTCCTCTGGCCGGAGTTTATACATGAGTTGGACAAGTGCAGCATGGTTGGATTGAAGAGCTTTTCGTACAATCCGAGCGGCCAAAAGGGGTCTTTCGTTGGCCTTTGAGGATTGCAAGGCCCATTTGCATTCCACTATGAAATGCCCAAAGGAGTCACTTCGTCCGTCCCAACATGGAACGAAGTTTTGGGAACCGTCATTCCCCTTTTCCACCATTCAAAACCAAAAGGTCCTGATCGACCCCATGCTCCGCGGCACCAATGTCTCCCACAAGGGCTTCCGTGAAGCTTTAGGAGGTACTCTTCTCGATTTGTGCGTGCCAGCTGGAGGCCATTTCTAACACGCGCATCGGCCCGAAGTGGATCCACTAAACAGCGTCGGGGATTTCAAGCTATACATGCGTGCTCAAAAGGATCGAAAAGTCCACATGAAACAAAAACACAAGAAAACCAGTAGCCGCATAGTCCATAGTCCCGTCTACCCTTCATGCCTGGAAACCAAACCTCCTCAGATCTCGGAGGGGTCAATTGTAGTGCGAAGCTAATACCTGCGAGCAACAGCAACAGCATATGCAGCATATGTACATGTTCATATGTTCATCGCAATATAAATGTTCATATGTATATATCTAGAAGCTGATATCTGCAATATTTCACAGCAAATCCTTACTCTGAAATGCATTGCTATTGTCCAGCCTTGGACAGCAACTCCAAACATGATCAAGAATAGAATCAATGCAAAAATTCTCACTGGACCGACTTTCTTCGACATGACCTTGGGCAAGGAAACTCTGGCGTCGTGACACACAAGTCGAAGGTTGCATCTTCGGCAAAGGAGCTGGAATGTACACCTTCTCGAAGAAAAGTTCTACTGGGCCTGCAGACTCCTGTCAGTGCCCAACAAAAAGTTCAAAGAAAATGGGCGAAGAACACGAATTCCATCGGGTGCATAAATGAACTGGTAAATTCTGGAGCGTCCTCTGCCAAAGGCTTCTCATCCACCGGAACTATCGCAAATTCTCGCTGTTTCAAGGTGGGGCAGCAGCAGCGCTTTGCTTGCAACCGCCGATGCCAGAATAAGAGGACGGGCGGAAAATAGGTCAATGTCAAGACCTCAAAGCTGAGACAAATGGGTTGGCGGAAAGATGTATGAATGAATTAGTTCTATTGTTTTCTTGGGAACAATTGCTGAGCATGACGCGTAAAGAGTAACAATGCACGTGGCTGCCTGCAGGTGACGGTGGTCCAAGGCTAAGACTCTAAGACGCTAAGCCGCTAAGCAAAGAAAACCACTGAGCATGACACATACCATCCGCATGTTCTCATTGGCATGCATCTCGACACCTCACTTCCCACATCTTGGCAGGCTGCGCATGCTACCAGGGGCTCCTGGCCCTACTACTAGTAACAAGAAGCTACTAGTAAAGTCTCAGGCTCCGCGTTGTTTCAAAAGCACACTTCCTGCAGTCTCAGGCGCTGAGCAGGAAGCAAAGGCCAATGCCGTCGTGAAGGAGGTATTGAAAATGGCCACGCCCGCACGTTGGAAGGTAAGAGACAAGGCTTTAATCTCCTCAAACTTCGATGTCTGGAGATGAATTCTTGTTTTTCGTATTTTCCATTCCGCCTTGATTCTCTTGGTTCTCTTTCCCATCGCTTCGCTTTTCTATGGCGTGGTCGTGCTTCCTTCATGCATCCAGTCCTGCTCTTCTGACAGCCTGCCTCCGCGGACAAACGGAAATTCAGCCTGCGATGTGCTCAGCATCAGGGATCTGGACGAACTACGGCCATTCATATAAATACAAATAGATAAATCAACTGAAGATCTTGATTTGCGTTGCTCATTCTTTTGCGATCTTATCTTTTTTCTATTTATCTTCAATCTTCAATCTTCAAATCTTCCTTACAGTACTCTGTTCCTCTTCATTCAGGCCTTCACAATGTGGCAAAACGTGTCTTTGAAGACAAAAATGTCGTCAGCACCGATGCCAAGCACCAAGTAAACCACTAGGATGTGCAGAAATTCAAAATATTGAACTCGAAGAACACCTCAATTCCAACTTTGAACAGCTCAATACAGAAGTGCAAAACAATAAAAGCGAAGATAAGCGTGTCATAACCAGGGCCCCTTTCAGAATGCAGCTCAGAATCCCTGGTAGACCAGTGCAGCAACCGGCAACGTCATAATCTTGGTGTTCGACTCAAATGATCTGTTGACTCAATCGGATGACAAAATGCTTTAAGTCGATCAAGTTCCAAACTTCCTAATGCACTTTGGACCCTCGCTTCTGTTGCCGCTTCTTTACAAAAGATTGCACACTTGCATTTATTTGCGCCAAATCTGGAGGCGCAGTAGGTCACGCAATGCTGGGCTCCGTGCCATCATGAACATGCTCGAAGCCGCAATGATGCTGGACTTTGTATGGAGATATCTTGGTCCAAAAAATCATACCCAATTTGATGACACCGGGATCACTGGTCTCTACAAAGAAAGCAGTCAAAACACTGAACAAACTGCCGGTGTGGCTAACTAGGACACACATCCGTGAAGCTGAAATCGCTAAGTGCCCGGCACAATGCCAAAGACTAGGATGACGGATATGAAGGACAGCAAGAAGTCCGGCATCGCCATCTTTTGAATTTCGTTAATGCCCGAGAAAATAAGACGAACCCGTATGTTGCCTGAGCTGCCATGCCAGAGTCAAGAATCAGAAACAAAAGGGATCAAACGGGACTCATTGAAAGCAAACAGCAACGCAAAATCGTCGGGATGCCGCTTGGAACGAAGCGGTCTTCTTCGCCTTGGAATGCAGATTTCAGCAGGGCGTAGGACAACCCGAGATGTTCGAAGACGGGCGCCATCGCCTCTTCACCGGAATCCGGCGAGACCTCGGAAGAGTGTCGCCGAACTGTTTCCTAGTAGCGATGCCAGGAGCCCCTAGTAGCGTCCTTGCTCCTAGTAGCGATGCCGGGAGCCCCTAGTAGCGTCCTTGCTCCTAGTAGCGATGCCAGGAGCCCCTAGTAGCGTCCTTGCTCCTAGTAGCGATGCCAGGAGCCCCTAGTAGCGTCCTTGCTCCTAGTAGCGATGCCAGGAGCCCCTAGTAGCGTCCTTGCTCCTAGTAGCGATGCCAGGAGCCCCTAGTAGCGTCCTTGCTCCTAGTAGCGATGCCAGGAGCCCCTAGTAGCGTTCTTGCTCCTAGTGGCGATGCCAGGAGCCCCTAGTAGCGTCCTTGCTCCTAGTAGCGATGCCAGGAGCCCCTAATAGCGTCCTTGCTCCTAGTAGCAAGGCCAGGAACCCCTAGTAGCCGAACTTTTTTCTGTCAAACATGTACTATACTATCTATAGTCTAACCATAAATTGCAATGTGTCCACACCCAGTGGAACCAACAGGAGGAACATGAAAAGAACAAGAAACAAGAACTGAATGGACCAAATGCAAATCTAAGGTTTCGCGAGCAAAACAAAGGGAACACAACTGAAAGAAGCAAGTTGAGGAATGCTGGTGTCACAACATAGCAAGCCACCGTGATTTGCAGCGCGGTCCTGCTGTAAATATTCTTTTTGGTCTCTGGAAAGCTCGGATCAACAAACCTTGGACTCGTCAAGATCTTGTCAGAATGTCAATCAATCTCTTCACTTTGTCACTTCTTTCAATCGATTTGTGGATATTATTGGTATTTCTACAGGCCAACCGCACCATGGCCACCCCAAACATCTTGTCATTGACTGTTTGATGTCTTGGAGTGTTAGCTCCCTTTCAGTAGCTTATCAGCTGTCGCTGATTGGCTAAGCTCCATCGGGGGTCCATTACGGTTCTTTCGCCGTTCACTACGCTTAACGTGTACATTCTTCCGCCGTTCTGCGTTTGAACTGGTTCCTTCGGCGAAGAGTTCGGGTTGCTAGCCCTCCTGCTGCCAAGCATCGTCGCATACAGAGACTGTGGCCCCTCCAAAGCAGCTCAATTCTGTACTTCAACCAGCACACCATTTACAACATTTTACAACAAGTGCTTTGTATTGAAAAGTGTTTTAGCTTGCCAGATGCGGCCTTGTTTCTCATATCGTTGTACATGAAGTCAACCGTATCATCCACAATGCTTTGCGGGAGTTTTTCACAACTCCAATTGTACTGGCTTAGGAGTCGTGCAGCAGGAATGGATTGTTGGGCTGGATTTGCCGCCGTGCCGTAGAAGAGGCGCAACACCGAGCCCAGAAACACCACTTCCTGCGTCTGAGCATTGAGAGGAGCAAAATGGAAGACATCAGTTGATTTTCTGATTGGGAAAACCTCTCACTTGTACGCCCCAAACAAGTGCCGATTGCTCTCATTGACTCATCTCCGAGCTAACCGCACAAAATCGTACTTCCGATTGGACTCAAAGACTCAAAGATACCCCTTCAATCAACAGGCTGTTCATCCTGTATCTTGGTGTTGTTTACCACCGTCTTCTCCATCTCACAAATGTCGACCAGTCTGTCTGGAGTGAAAAGACTCTCTGTTCCATCAGCGCTCTTGTAGAAGAAGGTGAGCCTCACAGCATTGCAAGTCAAAGCAACAACGCAGCAGTGCTTCTAAAACCATGTGGATCTAAAACATGGAAGCTGGAAAAGGGTGCTCCGCAAAGAGACAGCGAATGTTTGATCAATTGCCACCGTTCTGGTAAAGATCTACGTTCAGTGACTCAGTGACTGACGGGTGCTTCTAAGCAGGGTGCAGGAAGGGTTGAAAACAAGACCACAAGAAATTGTGTGTTAAGTTGCTTTGCGGCAAATGAATTCGTGTGCTTCATGTTTAAGGTGCATGGTCCCCTTGTTGTCCTCCTCAAGCTCTATTCGTTTCAATGATTCTGCATGAGTCGGCACGAAACACCAAAAGATCCCACTGGGCGTCCCACATTTCTACTTCATCTCCTGAAGACTCCTCGGCGGCCTGTGACTGCGTCCTGACCTGCGAAGTTTCAAGATGCAAAGATGTGCAAAGGAATGAACACCAAACCGAACAAACCGAACCCCCGGGTCACGGGCTGCTTGAACTTTCGGGTGTTTAAGCTGGCATTTCGGGGCACATGCTTTCCAGAGATCCCGGACAAAAGCAACATATGCGAAAGCTTCAAGCACAAGAACCCATGTGCAGCCCTTCCTGTAATCAATGAATCTGACTGGTTGCCAGTAAAGTTGGTGTTTGGTATGTGGAATTGAATAGTTCATTCCAGTTGAGTGACAAGATGTGAGCGATGTGGTAGACCCGCGTAAATTCAGTCACCAACCTGAAAGGACTGCTTCAAGTACACCTAATGAGCGAAGCGAAAAAAGGACATTGCACCCGGGTCGGCCATTGGTGCATGACATATAGGTCAGGCCGTAACCATGGCACCAACATGCCTAGTACTCAGAGTCAACAGCACGTACTGGTGTTTCGGTGTTTGGCTTTGAGCGCTCTCTGTAGCTTTCCCAAGCCATTGTAGCCATTGTGTCCTTTCATGTTTGGGAACCAGCAGCAAAGAGTCTCCTCTCCCGGTGCAAATCAACACCTGCCGCTGCTTTTAACATGTGCTTTCTCAGCTTCTTGCCTAGCCAAAACAGTTCTAGTAAGCAGGGGCCAGAAGTACTTGATGCCATGGCCATGTGGTGACTTCTAGTTTTTGGCTTTTGGCAAGGCTGAGGATAGATCTAGATGCAATATGCAACAATATGCAATGTGTCCCTGTTTGCGAATGGGACAAGTGCATCGCTTCTAGTAACAAGTGCCTTACTAGTAGTAACAAGGACGCTAGTAGTAACAAGTGCCACGCTAGTAGTAACAGGTGCCTTACTAGTAGTAACAAGAAGCTACTAGGGGCTCCTGGCATCGCTACTAGGAACAAGTGCATCAATGTTGTGTCCCTGTTCGGCCCAGTGGTGCATCATTCGGAAATCCATTGACCGCAAACGACCTCAGTTCAAAGTGGATTCTGTTTCTAATTATTAATTCTTGTTTCTACTAGCAAACATTGTTACTACTAGTAAGGCACTTGTTACTAGAAGCGATGCACTTGTTCCTAGTAGCGTCCTTGTTACTAGGCCAACCTACTTCCAACATAAACGCCTCCGCTCGCCACTCCGTTCGGTCCCATCCCCTCCTGTTCCCTTGCTGCTTGATAAGCACGACGATGCTGCGTCATCTCACCATCCAAGATCATCCAAACATCGTCCTGTCGAAGTTTGCGAATGAACAAGTACAAGCTTTTCGTTTGAAATAACATCTAAGTCACATGAAAAAGCAGAACCCGCGCACCCTTGTCATCAGCGTGACATACCCAAGTCCAGCTGCCAAGCCAGACATTGCAAACTCAGCACAATTTTCAGGCACAAATGACTCTGAACACTCGCTTAAGTGACTCTGCGACGCCAAAGCTTAAAACATCTTAAATCAGCGCGATAACTGGATGTTATTTCGTTTCCCCCAAAACAAACGATTTGAACCACCCTGCTGGCGTGGACCTGTGCCACTCTTGGGTAAACGGTTTGGTCTGCTCCAGACTAGTTTGTGGTAGACAAAGTTGTTAGAACAAACAAACAGCCAACTCGGTGTACAGCACATTACATAATGTACTCACGAATGTGCTAAACGGCCCTGACACTATCATCGTCAGTACCAGTCCAATGTGCATCCCTGTTCCTGGCACATCCTGCTCATGAAAGATCTCATGTTCATCATGTTTTCAAGCGCATGTGTCTCGTGCTCTTGACACACCCACATCCATCTGCATCTAAGGTTCAATAAGGAACACGCAGCTCAGCCAACAAAGGCATGTTCGCCGCACAAAGTGAGATGCCAGTGGTTCAGTGATCCTGGAGGTCGATCTGCAGACTTGGGTGAGGCAAATGATCAGTTTGTTCCCAGTAGTTTCTTGCTCCTAGTAACTCAAATACAGCAGAACGTAAAAAAGAACCATAGAGTTTGAGAAGAGAGGTAGGGTATGGAATCCCCTTGAAAGGGTCCTTCCTTTCCTGTGTCATCTTTTTCGATTCTGTTAATTTCTTTTGACACCAAAACAACTTGTTCCATACAACGAAAATGATCGCCGGAAAAGACTTCAACTTCCAGTCCTATCCGCTGCCTTCATCCAGCTAACGGATGTGACAAATGTCACGTGCTGGACCCTCCCGGTGGCCCTCGACGAGTCGCTTGGGCCAAAAGCAGCTGCTCGTCGGATGGCAGACTTCAAAAAGGAACGCTATCTGCGTTTCTGCGGGGAGCTCGAATGAGGCTCAAAACAGAATCTAAACACAGATCTGCAACGACACAACTGGGTGCCCATCCAAGAATTGAAAAGAAATGAGCAGAAGACCTGCCGAGCCTCTCTGCCATCACAAAATGGACATCGTGCATAGCAGCGCAGCTTCTGAGTGCACCCAAGCCATTCCTACACTCGCTGACACTGATTTCAGCCTGGCCTGCAAGAAATAAATAGAGTGGTTTTGCGGCTGCACTGCGGTTGAATCTTAGCTTGTCCGGTCTGAGCCACAGACTGTGAAAGCACCCACATCCAACGAGTGAACATTCAGCGAACACCGGCACCGTCAAACCACGTCAAAGCGATCGAACACCCTTTCTTCGCTCAATCTCGCTCCAGCGGATCCTGAGGGAAGACATCGTTCACAGAAAAGGGCCCTGCAATTCTGTTCCTAATGGCTTATTGCTCCTAGTAGTACGGCCAAAAGCCCCTAGTAGCGTCCTTGCTCCTAGTAGCGATGCCAGGAGCCCCTAGTAGCTTCTTGTTCCTAAAATAGATCAAAGAGCTCTAAGTGCACGGCGTTGATGTTCCTTGCAGCGTTCGATGTTAGATGCTTCATGATGCTTCATGATGCTTCAGGCAAAAAGCAGCTCCCAAGAGCCATTTGTGTGAACCGGTTGTGCCAATCCGTGCCTCTGTCTCCTATGACGCTGTGTTTTGATGCGCTCCGCAACAGACATCTGGCACAAGACGAGTCATTGCGAAATGCAACGATGTTCAAGTGAAGTTCCCGGGCAAAACCAAGCAAGCCACAACATGCAAGGTAAAAATACATGACCTCTGCGTCTGCGGCATACGCATCCTTGCGCAGGTCTCGGAAGTACTTCCTTAGGAATGAAGGAAGACCGGCTGGGTTAGGTGGTTTTGCAAAGAGATTGACACATATTGAAGCGACGTTCCAGATTCGAACTTGTTTACGCCTCTCCACTCCAGTGTGAGACCAGCTTTTTCAGGCTCTGGCTGATCAGACTTCTCCCTCATCTTCGCTTCCAACTCCTAGGCTCGATGCATAGCAACCTGCTTAGCATTGTCGAGATTTTGGCTACGTATCTGAAGGTAATCTGGCATCCGCAGGTCGAGGGGGCTGTGCATGCAGTGCCTTTGGTTCCTGGTAAGAATCTGCCTGTTTTGTACCTGTTTTGGTACTTGGTATTTGCTCTTCTGGCGTGCGTCTGGAGTGATGGAGTCTGTTCGCGGTTTGTTGTGATCTCGGTGAGGCGATGGAGTTTGCAGTTCACGTGATGTTTCGGCTTGCGACGCGTATACACTTTCATTCTCACCTTCCTTCAGCCTTTTTCAGCTTGCTACATTTCATTCAAGCATCCTCGATCTGTTTCTCCCTCTCTTCCGCTGAAGCTATTCGATCGTCTTTCATCCTACAAGCAGAAATCAACAATCGGCATTGTTGAAACATGTTGAAACCCATTGTGCCAGCCAAATCAGCAGCCTTTCATGCTTTTTGGCATCAACCTTGGTGCGCTCTGTGATTTCGATGAAACATGAGGTCAACACGCCTTGCTTCCTAATGGCTCTGTGGATTTTTTTGTATACTCTTTCTATTTTCTTTGGTTCTCTTCGAATTGAGCTGTGAGGCTCTCATTTGCTGCACCCGTTGCTCTTTCTCTTCGTCCGTCATGCGCCTCGGTGTCAAACTGCAACAGGGCAAAATTGAGGATCTGGACATTCAAAAGAAACCAACCCATGTATACGGCGTGTGTTTGCTTTTATCTTTTATCTATACTGATTGGTCACCAAAAGTGTTTGTTTCGTTGAGCCCTTTCCTGTTGCATCCTGCGTACTTTCCCAAACCGCGGCTGGCGAGGGCTGCGTCTTTCTGCTGTTTCACGCGCGACTCCTCAGTTAACGTTTTCCGACAGTCCTAGACGTCTAAAGCCAAAGTGTCGTTTGACATGGCGTCTTTGATAGTAGCGATGCCAGGAGCCCGTAGTAGTGTCCTTGCTCCTAGTAGTACGGCCAGGAGCCCCGTTCGTAGCGTCTTTGCTCCCAGTTGCTTCCTTTTTTTGCTTCCTTCTTGCATTTCTCTGGGCCAAATGCATGCTCCAGCCTCTTGCTGACCACAATTTGGCTTGGTCCGAGAGCAGACAGGTCAGGCCTGTGTTGAGCACAAAAAGTGGCAAGAAATAACACAAGTACAGGCTAAATCGGCTATGGTACAGGTATAATAGGGTCTGTGAATGGTTCCTCGCTTGACATCCAAAGTGTGGAGACAGGTGGTGTGGGGCCAGCTTCGCAAACACATTTATCTTGAATGTACTGGAGCCATGGAAGGATTGAAAAAGGGCAGGACAGGTTTACAGGTCGAATTCGCAAATGTGCTTCGCAGGTCGTCCTTGTTGGTTGGTCCTTTGGGTGCAAGTGAGCGGCTCTGCTTCTCTTGCTTCTCTTTCTCTCTTGGCCTTGGAATTGACACAAAGCGAGAGTCTAAGTCTACAGCAATATTAAAAGCTCCTCAACGATGTGACCGATGTGAGAAACAGGAGGTTACACATTCGTGGTGACATGGATTATTAAGTCTCATAAGAAAGTGAATAACCAAGCCTGCCAGTCCTGATGCACAAATCAAAGCATGCCCGTGCAAGTTAGGCCAGGACTGGAACAGCAGTCTGAGCTTTTTCTGAGCTGCTGCTGCTGCTGGACTTTTTCTTCTTCTCGGAACCAAGCCGACTGAGACTCAACAAGCCGAAGAAACGAGAATGATGTGTTTTGGGAAGTTTTTGTGTTGTTTGGACAATTCCAAAGTAAAGTGCCTCAACAAAACACAATACACATGGAATATGTTCCCCAAAGTGACACTGCGTGCAAGACTTGGGCCAAGTTTGGGCTTGGGTTGTGTCGTCGCCATGTGGACAACACCACGGCCAAAGTAAACTTGAACGTCACCAGCGCCTTGGAAGCCTTCTTGAGAGCCTTGATCAGGTGAAGTCATGTGCCAGGATCACAGCAAGGAAGGAGTTTGTTGTTTGCTGCGGCAAGGAGTCCAAAAGGAAATATGAAGTTTGCAACCGCCTTACAATATCGTAAACAGCACCTGGTAACAATGTACTTCGAGGAACATGACCTCACCACATGACAGGAAGCCGGTTGGCATTACAGTCTGGTAGGGGCCCAGGGTGGAAAGACCTAAAGCTTCATGCTGCGGTCTTCAACTTGTGACAAAGATCTGCCAATGTTACTAGTAGTAAGGCACTTGTTTCTAGTAGCTTCTTGTTACTACTAGTAAGGCACTTGTTACTAGTAGCGATGCACTTGTTCCTAGTAGCTTCTGCAAGGCTTCTATCCAAGCCTTCTCTTCCTTCTTTGCAGCTTTCTTCTCTTTCTTCGCGGCTTTCCTAAGGACTCGACGTGAACAAGGTGGACAATACAAGTCTGCAAGAAAGTCTGCCGAGCTTCTTAGCTGCCTTCTCTTGCTTTTTCTTGATCTTCGCCATGATGAGCGGGTTTGCCATCCTAGGTGGTTCACGTCCTTCGCTTGTACACTGTCTGGAGAATGCACTTGATGTCTCGGGCCCAAACATACTGTCTCTTGCGGCTTGTTCTTGACGCCGGATCTGAAAAAGTGGATCTTCTCGCAGCTTTCGAACCATATCCTAGCTTTTGAGACTTGTTCTGACAAAGCTGGTCTGATCAAGTCTTGTCTCCATTCTCCTCGGTGGTCTTTGTCGCACTAGTCAAGAACAGCGAGCCAGCTGTGCTGCTCCTGCATTCGCAGGACATCAAAAGCATCTCTTTCTTTTCTTTCTTATCCTTCTGTCAATCTTGTGTTTTCCATGTTTCCTCTCTTGAGACCTTTCACTTCTGTCAATGAAGAGGCTATAATGCACTTTATCACAGAAGTCTTGGTTTGTGTGTGTGGTCTTTGCTTTGGGCCAAGCGTCTGCAGGTTCTTAACATCTTCAATGTCTTTGTCCTGGGGGTCCAAAGGTTTTACAGGGATATCCTCGAAAAGTATCAAAGCTGAAACAAGCTGAGAGCCTTCTGGGCTGAGATTGGCATATTCATTAACTCGTCGTCATTCGGCTTTACAGAGGCAGCGCTTTGCTCATACATCCAATCCAGCCTTGAAAAAACGATCTTCACAAAAGAAGCCCACTGAGCTCGTGCCAAATGAAACACAAACGAACTTAAGAAAAAGTTTCCAACACCTAGCAGCCCTAACTATCTAGGAACCGTTTCGATGATGCAAGGGGTTCTTTAAAGCAGCATCTGGAAGCTTCCTGTCGCCTCCAACCTAAGAGCAGTTTTTTCACTCGGCCTTTCTGGCGCTTGTGGCGCTTGTCTGATGTTCGCCATGGTTGGAACACACGGCGAGCAAAGCGAGTCAGGAAGTACGACGGGAGGACACGAAGAGAACAACACAGTTGCCCAATGGAACCAAATGCTGCCAGCTGAGCCAGGAAAGTCGATTTTGTTTTGCAGAATGCTGTTCATCTAAACCATGCTGGCTTCTTGGCTTGGCCCCAGTATTTTTGCTGCTTTTCGGGGTTTTAGGGTATAAATATGTCAACCCACTATATAGTGCTCTTCGGCGGCATCTGTGGTGAACACTCACTGTTGTGAGTTGTGACCCGATACTTTTGCATCGTCATTTGTCTTTTCTCAAAGCCAGCGAAAGCAACTTTCAACAGTGTCGCATGACTGCAATCCTGACATGTCATTCACACTTTAAAAGAAAATTGCACAGCCTGGTTTCAAGAGCCTCAGCCACGATTTTTTGTTTGCCAGCGAAAGTATGGAGGAGCATCTAAGCAATCATCCAGGCAGGAGCGCACTGTCGAAAACTCGATGAGAGGCGCTGAGGAACGACAAACAATCACATGCAATCCATGGCGTCTCAGTCTTTCTTCCCGACGACCTGGCAGCCGCATGCAGTGAGTGCATCCTATAAGAAAGGAAGAGAGGGTTCCGTACTTGTGTGGTCAGCTGCTCATCTCACTAGGGACAAGAGGAATGAGCACCACCAGGCCAAGGAGTTCTATTCTATCGAGTTCTAAGACACCCATTG